CCTCTCTTCTTTCTTTTCCCCCCCTCCGCACTAGTTTCACCCAGTGCCCGTCGTCTGGACTTGCTTCCAGATTCCACCCCCCCCCCCTTTACCCATCTCTGCTCCTCGACTGTATAACTTGCTGTCTGGATTCCCATCCTTCCCTTGGGGGTTCCAACAGTTGGTTCAGTCGCCTTCCTTTCCCCATCTTAACCGACTAAACCCCCTTCGCGTGTCAGCTGCCGCATCGATATTGGCTGCTGCGTCGCACCCGTCATTGTGGATTGCGACCGCCCACTCCGTCCATCCACTGGCCGCCTCCCCTCTCGCCCCTTCTGAGCCCTCATCACCAGAACAGTCTGCTGTTCCGAATAATGAGGTTCGACGCAATCCGAATCTAGCATCAATTCCTCCGTCTCGTCTCTCCTCCGATTTTCGAATTGCACCACCACTCCCCGGTGTCCCGCGTCGTCTCCGCCTGATTGCGCTACGTGCGTCTGCCGTCCCCGCTGCTACTATCTAACCCCCGATCGTGGTGCATGTGCGCTGTCGACAGTGATAAATGATCATCATATGTCCGATCTGATCTGATCTCCCACTTGACCTTCACGAGACGCCGCTATACGGGAGGAGGAAGCATGGATTCCCAGTGGCAGGCATACCAGGATCCCTTAATGGGGCATCCCGCGCAGTTCAACAACGGGTTGACGTCTAATCCACAACAGCTAGCCTCAAAATACGGCGCCCAGCCACAGCACTCGCAGCCGCCGGTGGGCTACACCTACGAACCCTTCCAGTCTCCTGGCACCACCGCCAAACCACCATCCATCGGTGCAAATTCCAGAACCGTCTCTATGGCTTCGTCTCCCGCTGCGACGCCACGTAGTCGGGATTATGTCACCGATGCGGACACCACGATGGAAGATGCGGATCCGTACAACCGGGCCAAGTACTCGACAAGACCGAGCCATCATAGCCGACCGTCATCCCAATATTTCCCAAGCGAAGAGTCGTCAGCTGCTCGCAGGTACTCCCCTATGAATGTTTTGTCTCCTTCCATGTCGTTCAATGCGAGTCCTGGAAAATCGCATAACTCGTATGCTTTCCCGCCCGGGCCGAATCAACCACGACGGTCGCCGACAAGAGGTTCAACCTACGCCTCACCTCCTCAGGCGTTCCAATCCCCACCCTGTGAGTATCAACGCCTTTGAGATCTTTGGGTTTTATGGATACTATGGCAGCTAACATATCTCCTCACAGCTGCGTCACGCCCCCCTAGACTTCCCCCGCTTCAGCCTACCGACATGAGCCCCGATCAGTACTATCCACCCTCGGCGGGCTCACAGCTCAACGCCGCATTTGCACAAGATGGAAGGTCACCGCGCTCTGCGTCTATATCCGGTGGGAGCCAGCAGCCAGGCCGGGGCCCTGTTCCGAAGTTCCAGAAGATCAAGTCCATCCAGGAACTTCAACCACGCATGAATGCGCAGCCACCTTACAGACGCGCCAACCCTGATGGTGGTTTCATCAGCGTAAGTACACAGGAAATCAAAGGCTCTGGAATAGCCATTCGTTAACATGTGTACAGCCTCTGCAAGCGTTGACAACACATCTCCCCGCCACTTATCGAATATGCAACCCGGGCTTCAACTACGAATCGTCCCGGAACCCGAGGCGTGTTCTTACCAAGCCTAGTAAAGGCGTGAAGAACGATGGTTACGATAACGAGGATAGTGACTACATTCTCTATGTCAATGACATCTTGGGCAGTGAGGAAGCGGGCCACAAGTACGTCTAACCCTAAAGCGTGTTCGACCGAAGTTCCCCGAGGACCTAAGCTAATCGCGTCTAGGAACCGTTACCTCATTCTTGATGTGCTGGGTCAAGGAACCTTCGGTCAAGTTGTCAAGTGTCAAAACCTGAAAACTGGGGAGGTTGTAGCTGTCAAGGTCATCAAGAACAAGACTGCATATTTCAATCAAAGCATGATGGAGGTGTCGGTTTTGGATTTGGTAAGTGTTTATATCTCAGCGGGTCGAAGTTGTTGCTCCGTTGCTCACAACTGTCGCAGCTCAACAGCAGATACGACAAGAATGACGACCACCACTTACTCCGCTTGAAAGATACTTTCATTCACCGACAGCATTTGTGCTTGGTGTTTGAATTGTTGAGTGTGAATCTCTACGAACTGATCAAGCAGAATCAGTTCCGGGGCTTAAGTACGACATTAGTACGCGTATTTGCTCAGCAACTTCTGAATGCATTGAGCCTTTTGAACAAGGCGCACTTGATTCACTGCGATCTGAAGCCGGAGAATATTCTACTAAAAAAGTTAGCAATCTCTCCAACTTCCTTCGAATGCACTATGCTAACTTAGCTCCATCGCAGTCTGGAGAGCCCCATTATCAAAGTCATTGACTTTGGTTCAGCCTGTGACGAGCGACAGACAGTCTATACCTATATTCAATCTAGGTTTTACCGCTCACCAGAGGTTCTTCTTGGCTTACCGTACGCGCACCTCGCCTTGTTCTTCCCTGTATACGCACGGCTAAACTAACACACTTCTAGCTACTCATCCGCGATAGACATGTGGTCTCTTGGTTGCATCGTCGTTGAGTTATTCCTAGGCTTGCCGCTTTTCCCTGGATCTTCGGAATACAACCAAGTCTGCCGCATTGTGGAAATGCTCGGCCTGCCGCCAACATGGATGCTGGAGATGGGCAAGCAGTCTGGCGAATTCTTTGAGAAGACCCAGGACGAGTTCGGTCGCAAGACATATCGCCTTAAAAGTCTAGAGCAATATTCTCGAGAGCACAACACGAAAGAGCAGCCGAGCAAGAAGTACTTCCAAGCGTCGACCCTGGAAGAAATCATCCGCAGCTACCCGATGCCGAGGAAGAATATGAAACAAGCAGAGATTGAACGAGGTAGGTAATACCCGATCCGCCATACATACATTTGCTCACTATTGTTGTTAGAATTGAACAACCGGGTAGCCTTCATTGACTTCGTTCGTGGCCTATTGGCCATCAATCCCCTCGAGCGTTGGTCGCCACAACAGGCCAAACTGCATCCTTTCATTACGCAACAGAAGTTCACAGGCCCTTTTATGCCCCCGATGAACCTGAAGTACTCATCTCTGAACAAGACTGTTCCCCCTGGAATTCAACAGCAGCAGCAGGCAGAAGCTGCCAGCAAGCAGAGGGCCGCACAAGCAGCCCATGCCCAGTCAGCCGCACAGAATGCCTACGCTATGCAGCTGAATCAGTTCCACACGCCCACGCATGCTCAGCCGCCGCCAATGTACAATGGAATCTTTACTGGTCATCAGCAAGGTGCCCCTCCGCCCTACCCCACGCAGCCACCGGCGTACGGTCATCAGATGAACCTCATCCCTGGCCAAGTGCCCCAAGCACAGTATGCGCCCTCCCAGAGCCTCTACGCGCAAGCGACAACAAGGGCTGGGCGGCAACGGGCGTCTACCATGGATCCTCAGGGTGGAGGTATTCCGCCAACAATCCAGCGTGTGGCCAGCCACCTCGACCCCAATGCACCTATTCGATTACAGCCTAGTCCGGCATACTACCCCCCACCTCCAGATGGGTATGTCGACCCCAATTCCGCTGGTCAGAGGCGACGAGGAAGTCGTACAGGCGGTACAAGAAACCGCGACTTCATTCGAACCCTCGAGGATGGGGTGTTAGGGGGTGAAGGCTTTATGGGCCAAAACCAGTGGCATTGAGAACACGCATACCCAGGAACAGGCCGATGGCACATGGATGTCCATCGGCCTTACGGACAAGCCATTTTTTCTGTATAGGCAAGTGTGTGCTCCTTTGCGCGTCCATCACCAGAAACTGGACGCAGAGCTACACTCAAATGGCCTCCTTCCTGGTATCTGGGAGCCTGCTCGATTTAAAGCTCATTACCGTCAGCTTTCCTCGAGACCTGAATTGGTCCTTGGTACGTGTGAGTTCTGTCTCCATGAAAGTCCTGTGACAGCCGGTTTGCCTTGTTGTTAGGCACGGGACAAATGAAAGTCCCCTACGTGACAGGCAACATAAGTTCCCAAGGGATATATTTAACGTCAGACCTCCGCCGTGGCGGCGAACACGGATGGCCTGCTTGTCAAGCTACAGCAGCACGCTACGGTGGACAGGTGCTCCCTTGCCCTATAGTTGAGCGCTGCAGTGCTTCCCAATGCTCATCCTCATTTATTCCTTTTCCCCTGTCAATTCTCCTAGGTTCCTGTATGTGGCTGTTTTCGGCATAGCCAGGAGTACTCGGAAAGAGGTGATTTATGTTGATTCTTGAATTTTCTTTTCCTTCTACCCAAATATTTGCACGAAGATCCCACCTGTTATGTGCTATGCAAGACATGTCCTTTTTGTTAGTTCCGTCCCTTTTTGCACGATTCAAAGAGCAACATGACTGTAACTTGGATAGTAAAATATGAGATATGAGGCCCGAGTTTAGATGGGCTGGAAAAGCTAGAGCTGCTTGATCTCTTTTTCTCTTCCCCACGGGGGGGGTGTGGGTGTGGTGTGGTGGTACTTTGGCGGGTGAAGTGAACGACACGGGCGACAATCGAATCACGGGAGGCCGGTGGAACTCCAATAAGCCGGAAAACGCTGTAGTCTCATCTGGTCTCTGACGCCCGGATCTCCGCAATGACTGTAGGCCGTGGATCTTGATCTGACAAGGTCCCATCAGTGAAGTAAATAAAATAGCATCCATTGAGATCTGGAGTTGAGGGGGAAAAGAACAATGGCAATCCGCGTCCCGGAGACTGGCCGCCTGCCTGTTGTGGTTAGGCGCCGCCTCGCTTAAATTTCGTGTGTGACTCGCGCCGCCCAACCTCTGCGGCTCGGAACCCTCACAACGGATTTTCCTGCCAGGCAAAAGAACCAGCCCGATCCGCCCTACCACCTGCGTGTTATCCCCCCGGCGACGACTGAGACCGCCGTTCTTCGATTCCCGCGACTTTCCCGATCTCGAGCGTCTGAATAATATCCGCAAACATGTCGCGCTTTTTCTACGGTGGCGGTAGCGACAGCGAGTCCAGCTCCTCTGAGGAGGAGGAGCTCTACAGTGATCGCGAGGAGGAGGAGCAGTCCGAGGAGGAGTCCAGCGAGGAAGAGTCTGAGGAGGAGGAGGAGTCCTCTTCCGAGGACGAGGATGCCGGCAAGACCGGTGCCAACCGTTTCATGAAGAATGTTTCCGAAAGCGAAGAAAGCGAGGATGAGGAACGAGTAACTATCGTCAAGAGTGCCAAGGACAAGCGGTTGGAGGAACTCGAAAACACCGTCAAGTTGATTGAAAATGCCGAGAAGATCAGCGACTGGGCGGTTATCTCGACAGGTGCGTTTGGCCCTGGAATCAAAGAATGGAATTGCGGGACCGGCAGCGGAGGGAAGGATGGGTTTTTGATACTAACATCCGTTTTATAGAGTTTGACAAGCTGAACCGTCAAATCGTCAAGATTGTCCAGTCTGGCCCGACCCCGAAGATCTACGTCAAGACCGTTGCGGACCTGGAGGATTTCGTCAACGGGACCATCTCGAAGCAGAAGTCGAGCAACAAGAAGATGAACGCCAGCAACGCCAAGGGATTCAACGCCGTTAAGCAGCGTATCAAGAAGAACAACAAGGACTACGCCGTTCAGATCGACAAGTACAGGAAGGACAAGGATGGCTTCATGGAAGCCAAGGAGGAAGTGGCCCGTCCCGTCGCCGCCGCCCCTCGCCTGACCAAGATTGAGCGTATCGAAGCCCCTGCTCTTTCCACCGCCGGTGATGACGAGGTTTTGCGACCGTTGGCCGTGGCGGCAAGACCCTCCAGTACACCCCCGA